GGCCATCGCTAGTAGGTTGGAGGCCATCGCTTCTAGGTTGGAGGCCATTGCTCTTATAGGTTGGAGGCCATCGCTAGCAGGTTGGAGGCTGGAGGCAGGTTGGAGGCTGCCATTGCTAGTAGGTTAGAGACTATGGCTTCTAGGTTGGAGGCCATCGCTTCTAGGTTGGATGGAGGCCATCGCCTCTAGGTTGGAGGCCATCGCTAGTTGGTTGGAGGCCATCGCTTCTAGGTTGGAGTTGGAGGGCACCGCTTCTAGGTTGGAGGCATCGCTAGTAGGTTGGCCATTGCTAGTAGGTTGGAGGCCATCGCTAATAGGTTGGAGGCCATCGCTTCTAGGTTGGAGGCCATCGCTATTAGGTTGGAGGCCATTATCATTGCTAGAAGGATGGAGGCCATCGCTTCTAGGTTGGAGGCCATCGCTTCTAGGTTGGAGGCCATCGCTATTGGGTTGGAGGCCATTGCTATTGGGTTGGGGGCCATTGCTAGTAGGTTGGAGGCCATCGCTAGTAGGTTGGAGGGCGCCGCTTCTGGGTTGGGGACATTGCTAGTAGGTTGGAGGCCATCACTTCTAGGTTGGAGGCCATCGCCGGTAGGTTGGAGGCCATCTCCAACCCAATAGCGATGGCCTCCAACCTAAAAGCGATGCCCTCCAACCTACTAGCGATGGCCTCCAACGTAGAAGCGGCCATTATCATTGCTAGTCGGATGGAGGCCATTGCTAGTAGGTTGGAGGCCATCGCTAGTAGGTTGGAGGGCGCCCCTTCTAGGTTGGAGGCATCGCTAGTAGGTTGGCCATTTCTAGTAGGTTGGAGGCCATCGCTAATAGGTTGGAAACCATCGCTTCTAGGTTGGAGGCCATCGCTATTAGGTTGGAGGCCATGATCATTGCTAGTAGGATGGAGGCCATCGCTAGTAGGTTGGAGGCCATGGCTTCTATCTAGGTTCGAGGCCATTGCTCTTATAGGTTGGAGGCCATCGCTAGCAGGTTGGAGGCCATCGCTAGTAGGTTGGAGGCAGGTTGGAGGCTGCCATTGGTAGTAGGTTGGAGGCCATGGCTTCTAGGTTGGAGGCCATCGCTCCCAGGTTGGAGGCCATCGCTTCCAGGTTGGAGGCCATCGCTAGTTGGTTGGAGGCCATCGCTTCTAGGTTGGAGGCCATCGCTTCCGGGTTGGAGGCCGTCGCCAGTAGGTTGGAGGCCTGCTTCTACGTTGGAGGCCATCGCTAGTAGGTTGGAGGGCATCGCTTTTCAGGTTGGAGGCCATCGCTATTAGGTTGGAGGCCATTATCATTGCTAGTAGGATGGAGGCCATCGCTAGCAGGTTGGAGGCCATCGCTATTAGGTTGGAGGCCATTATCATTGCTAGTAGGATGGAGGCCATCGCTAGCAGGTTGGAGGCCATCGCTAGTAGGTTGGAGGGCACCGCTTCTAGGTTGGAGGCATCGCTAGTAGGTTGGGGCCATTATTAGTAGCCATCACTTCTAGGTTGGAGGCCATCGCTTCTACGTTGGAGGCCATCGCTATTAGAGAGACTTGGTTTGGACACCAATTTCTGGTCTGTGAAAGGCGTGCGACTTTCATGCCGGCCTTTGGGCCCTGTTCGAGGTACCAATCCGTTGTGGCTCTTCTTGTGGGACTCTGAATTGTTAGGATGTCCTCAAACAGACCTGCATTTTTGACTTGGAGATGTGGAAGTTTTTCTTGGAGGTTACTCAAGTTTTTCCTTCATAAACCCAAGATCGAGAGCCACATTGAACCGCCGCTGGATCTGTTGTAGAACCGGAATCTCAGGCCTTTGTCTTCGGATGCGTCCTTGTGTTCGATGGGGAGTTCTGCCTGCGGTGGCTGATTGCTTGTGCACAGCCCAGATGATACCCCCTTCTCTAGTTTGAAGAAGTGTTTTTCAAAAGAACACCTCTGAGCCTCTGAGGTGTTGTTTTCGTGGTTGTCGCGAGCATGGCCATGAACCAGGCATCTAGCTCTTGGGCCACAGCCTCGGATCATGAAATGACAGTGGCGGACGGACGTTCTACAAGAACCGCTACGGCAGGAAAGGGACAACCAATCCTTGTGTACAACTACAGTAGTTGTATTTTTCTTGACAATGACAAGCAAGGGGACTCCTTTTTTGATGACACTGTTGGGGCAAGCACACGCATTCAATTCGCAGGACATGGCCACAACAAATTGACTTTCTCAAACATTCGAGGACCTCAGTGACAAAGATCATGCTCTGCGATACATCGTCGGTTTGGAGGAGATTTTTTTCAGCTAAAGGAGTTCATGATGAATGGGGGTGTTCTGATAAAGAATGTCAGATGAGCAGATGAGAGCAGAGACTGTAGTACTATATATAGGACCTCAAACGGGGGGTTTTGAGGCACATGAGGCAAATGGGTTTTGTGATTATGGTTCAAGATCGCAGTTTTGTTCGTGGTGTACCGTTTGGAGGCGGGAACCGTTGGCGCCTTTGCTGCCCACAAGGGCATGGAAGGAATGCGAGTGTCCGTAGGTGGGCCATGGCATCCTGGGGTGTTTTTTATGCGAAGTTCGAGCAAGGCAACGAATCCCTAGACAGGCTGATTTGCGTACAATGGATGCATGCAGGCTGCTGTCCATAACCGATCTACGAAGGAACCACTCAAAGAAATGCTTGGCTCATTGCAAACACATGGTCTGCAGGTGCCCTTTTGGGCGTTCTGCTCGCATGGAAATGCGAGGATGTTTTGGATGAGCCGTGGTCTCAATTGGGAGGGCTCAGAAGGCTAAGGAGGTGCTTCCGTTGGTACTGCTATTTGGCGTAAGACTGACAGTCAGACCGGCCTGTTCAAAAGGGAGATCGGACAGCGGGTTTTTGTAAGGGTCCAATTTACTCCTAAACTGACAGATTTGCTGATCTATTGTGGGCAATGTTGGCAGTTGGCAAACCACACCAATGGATCTAAACTAAGGCATGGGATTCACATCATTTCCTCACACAGGCTGGATTGGGCAACAAGAGGTTGCTTTTTGATCGCAGACAGCCTGCTAGCACCAGATGTAGCCTTGGAGGAGGATGCAGTACATTATGAATGCAGCAGCGTTTACCTGATCACTTGACCATTATCAGGTGGGTAGAGCTGGTGTTCTACAGCTTGTTGGCAATTGCGTCTGCGATTTTGTGCCTGCCTCAGCTCACAACCTTCTCTACTTCCAGCTGTGTCAAGTGCTTGTGGCGGGACTTGAGGCTCTACAAGAATAAGCACCTGAAGATGCTAGTCTTTGCCCTGGCAGTTCGTTCCCTGCGCTTGGTGACCCTTTTGGACGATTTGTGTCACTATTCTTTGCAGAGATCGCTGTCAAAAGAGAACTTCTGGCATCTTCTGCCCATTTCATCCACCTCGGTTGAATGCCGTGTTGTCTGGACAATCTTGAGGCCTGCTTTGCGAGCAGTGACTAGTAATCAGTGCCACCAAACTTAGTTACAATACCGTCACTGTGCCGGCTGAAACTGAGGCTGTGATTTCGGCTGGGTTCGGTGGAGCGTTCTGTACATCAGCCATTGCGCAGCTTCCTGAGCAAAAGTCACTGGACTTGGAACCTTCAACAGTAGTAGCGTCCGCTCCGTTCGTAGCGATGCACCTTGGCCCACCAGTAGCGTCCTCTTGTTCCTAGTAGTAATGCCAGGAGCCCCTAGTAGCGTTCTTGTTCCTAGTAGTAAGGCCAGGGGCCC